ATAAAGTAAAACAAAGAAAGAAAGTTAAACAACAAACAAAGACAAAGTTGCTGGAAAAGCCCAACAGGTCTGGCAGCATCTGTGAAGGAAAAAACAGAGTTAATGTGTCAGGTCTGGTGACCCTTCCTCAGAAAGAGAAGAAAGTTAAAAGTTCAGCATTACAGTCCTTCTTCAGCCATGGGCCTGCAGACTTTCCACACTGGGCTTTCCCCACAAGGGCACGATCTCCTCCGCGCTACAGTCTCGCCACTGATTGTCAGAGTCCTGCCTAGCATTGCCAGCTGCCTCAGTGCCAACTGCTCTGGACCTTGGCGATGCCACAACGTTGTTCGATGCTCAGGTTCTGCCCAGCTCACCAGCCTCCTCATCACCGAGTGCCAAAGTCCCGCTCTGGGCCAATCCAGCTGCTGCCACACTCTGCACCCTAATGCCATCGCCTCCACGACCGAACTCTCTCCAGAAAGTAAGTTTTTAAAAAAGCAAACTAAAAAAAAAACCAAAAAAACAAGAGAAGAAGAAAATATGCTACACAGCAGCAGCTGAATGATCTGAGAAGACCAAGGAAAAGAAGTCTGGGTTCCTATGGAGATATTAAGCAGCAACTGCATTGTCACTGTCAGAATCAAAATCCTGACTCCCCAAAGCTTGTCCACCATCTGCAAAGCACAAGTCAGCAGGGTGATGGAATACTCCCCACTTGTCTGGATGGGGGCAGCTCCAACAACACTCAGGAACCTTGACGCCATCCAGGATAAAGCACTCTGTTTGACTGGCTCCTATCCACCACCTTCAACGTATAACTCCCTTTACCACTGACACACAGTAGTAGCAGTGTGTAACATCTACACCAAGTGTTGTAGTAACTCAGCAAGCGCTCGTTAGACAGCACCTTCCAAAATCCATGACCACTTCCATCTAGAAGGACAAGGGCAGCAAGATACATGGGAATGCCATGACATGCAAGTTCCCCTCCCAGCTACTCACCATCCTGATTTGGAAATATATCACCATTCTTTCATTGTTGTGGGTTCAAATTGCTGGAATTCACTTCCTAACAGCACTGCCAGGTATACCTACACACCAAAGACTGCAGAGATTCTCGAAGACAGTTCACTACCACCTTCTACAAGGCACTTGGTGTTGGCCTAACAAGAGATAACCACATTCTATGAAAGAATAATAAGAGAAATCCTGAGGAATAAAATTGAAAAGCTCCCATAGTACTTATTATGAAAATAACAGCAAAATACTGCAGATTTGGAATAACAACACCTGTAGAGAAAAACACAATTAACATTTTAGGTTTAAAGGAGTGTCATGGTGAACTTGAAATGTTAACTCTGTTTCTCACTTCACAGATGCTACCATACCTGCTGAGTTTTTTCAGCACTTTCTGTTTGGTCATTTTTTTAAAACACTGATAATCTATCAATTTAGTTAATCACATCTTCTTAATGATGCTTGTTTCATCTGAGATACTTAATGAGAGTGAGGAAATGCAAAGATTCACTTCTCAGTTAATTATCTTTCCAACTATTGATAATTGTTTTATTTGATTTAGCTTAATCAAGGATGTAAGCAACATTTTAATCACAGAATTGACTTAATCATATCGACTATGGTGAAAAATGCTTCAGGTGCAGTGACTTTAGTAAGTCAGTAGGCTACAGAATAGGCAAGGTTCTGTCTGTTAAAAAGACCCTGAACTTCCAATTGCCTGCCACTTTAACACACTGCTGTGTGGCCTGGCCAACATCTCTGTCTCTGGCTTGCTGTAGTGCTCCAGCAAAGCTCAGTGCAAGCTGGAAGAGCAGCATCTCATCTTCCACTTGGGGAACATGCAGCCTTCTGGACTCAATATTGAGCGTAACTATTTCAAATCATGAACATCTCCCTCCGTGTCTTTTACCCACACTCCAGGTCCTGTCAAGTCATGAGTTTGCTTTCAACACAGCCAAACCATTTTCACCCACTCATCGCCCCTGTTATGACTTAACGAGTTGTTCTTCTTCCTTAGCTTAGTATCAACAATCCCTTTGTTTATCCACTCTTTTTTCTCTCTGTCTGAGCTCCCTGTCTGCCTATCCACTCACTTCTTCCCATCCCCAATTTCCTCTTCACTTCTCCATCATCAGCATAAATATTACCTTTTTCCTCGCTGCTATCAGTTCTGAAGAAGGATCACTGGATTCAAAACATTAATGATGTTTTCTCTTCACAGATACTGCCATTTCCTGCTGAGTTTCTCCAGCAATTTCTGTTTCTTTTTTGTTTGTTTAAGCAAGGTTCTCAATCACATAAATGTTCAAATAGCCAATTCAGTTTGATGAAACTTAGAGTGGCGCCAGAACGTGGAAGCCTGTTCTTTCTCTTTGTCAGGTTATATGGACATTCCATAGATTTTGCAGAACAGAAGCCGGTCGCTATGCCCATCTCTTCCATGCTGGTCTTTATTCTCCTCATACACAAATTCATCCCATACAATCAACATATTCTGCAATTCCTTTCACCCTCATGTCTTTATCTAGTTATTTTTCTTACCTGCATCAATGCAATGTTTCAATTACTCTCTGAGGTAGCATGCTTCATATGAAATTCCTTGGTGGAAATATTAGGACAATCTTATATATATATGATACCTAACGGCTGCATCTTGCTTTTGTTCGTTGATATGAATGGGGCAAATGCTATCTCATGGCTTTTATGAATAGATCCACACAATTAGTTTATGGAAGGGGAGACCAGAGACAGTGTAAAATATTGGTTCCAAATAGAGAAACAATGACTTGTTAAGCATTGCAGGTGCAGCAGGCAGTGAAGAAGACAAACAGGATGTTAGCCTTCACAGTGAGAGGATTGGAGTACAGGAGCTGGGATGTCTTGCTGCAATTGTACAGGGGTGTGGTGAGACTGCACCTGGAGTATTGTGTGCAGTTTTGGTTTCCTTATCTGGGGAAGGAGCACAACAAAGGATTTCCAAACTGATTCCTGGGATGATAGGACTGACGTATGACGAGACACTGGATCGGATAGGAGAACACTCACTGAAGTTTGGAAGAATGAGAGGGCTCTCATAGAAACCTGTAAAATTTTAAAAAGGACTAGACAGGGTAAACACAGCAAGGGTGTTCCGGATGATGACTGGGGAGTCCAGAACTAGGGGTCACAGTCTAAGGATACGAGGTCGGCCAATTAGGACTGAGATGAGGAGAAATTTCTTCGCCCAGAGAGCGGTGAGCCTATGGAATTCTCTGCCACAGAAAGCGGGTGAGGCCAAAACATTGAATGTTTTCAAGAAGGAGTTAGATATAGTTCTTAGGACTAAATGGATCAAAGAATAAAGGGGAGAAAGCAGGAACAGGGAACTGAGTTGGATGATCAGACATAGTCATGTCGAATGGCTAAGAAGGCTTGAAGGACGAATGGCCTAAACCTACCTGTATTTTCTGTATTTCGATCAATAATGATGACACAATAACTACTCATGTACAATGATAATTTCTAAAATTAGGGCTTTTTTTTTCAGAGAATTGTTAACCATATTTAGAGTTGTGGACTTTCATTGAGGATATATTATTGAACTGGGGCTCTGCATCAGTGTATTCTCTTGAAATGTTCCTAACAAACTCCAAGCCATTTTTATATAATGAAATTAATTGGGTGAGACTATCAAGCATCAAACATGATACAATGGGACACCTGTAGTGGACACAAAAAGTCTGCTCATCAGAAGCAGAAGTTTCTAATTAGTCAGTAGTTCATTGAACAGAAGGGTGAGTATGGGTTACAAGTGACTCATCACAAAATGATAACAATTCCAGAGGCCTTGACATTCACATGTATCATATCAATATGGACTTTCTACAGTCTTTACAGTCATACAGATATACAGCACAGAAACAGACCCTTCGGCCCAACTCATCCATGCTGACCAGATATCCTAAATTAATCTATTCCCATTTGCCAGCATTTGGCCCATTACCCTCTAAAACCTTCCTATTCATATACCTATCCAGACGTCTTTTAAATGTTGTTATTGTACCAGCCTCCACCCCTTCCTCTAGCAGCTGATTCTATACACACACCACCCTCGGAGTGGAAAAATTGCCCCTTAGGTCCCTTTTAAATCTTTCCCTCTCACTTTAAACCTACGCCCTGTAGTTTTGGATTCCACTACCCTGGGGAAAAGACCTTGGCTATTCATCCTATCCATGCTCCTCATGATTTTATAAACCTCTATAAGGTCATTAGGGGCTTTAGGTATTGGCCTCCCCAGTGAACAGTTCACAGTCACTCTCGCCCCACCTTTCAGCTTTGACACTTTATGGATACAGGGTCATCATATGATGAAAACTGGTCAACATTCAGGACTCTGCATTTTCATAGTGTCTTAGTGAAGAGAGGCCCAGTTTCCTGCTGAAAGCAATCAGATGCCTCATCATTCCATGTAAGTTAGTCTCCCACAGAATCAATGTGGCTCCATTTGCTGTGCACACTTTGTGCATTGGCACCTTCACTGCCCAGCTTGGCCTTTAGAAACTAAGAACATTGCTGGAGAAGGGGTAAGTTAAATGTTTTGAAATGATTTATTGTGGAATCATAAAGGGAGCATTATTGCTTTCTGGGCCTCTAATGCAGGCCTCTCACAGTATTGTTTCCGCCTTCCCTTAACGTACTGATTGGTAGGGATGGAGATTTCAGATTTTTTGGGCTTCTCTGATCAGCAGCTTTCTTCTTAATCGGAGTGAGCAAATCACGGATGGAATGATATGAGATCCAAACATGAAAATTAGATAGGCCTTTTACTGTTGACTGCAGACTAGCTGTAGAGACACTCTGAAAGTTAGTACCTTCCCAGACAAAGATTGGGGTCAGGAGGAATGCTACAAGAGTGGTAGAGGGGCTTCTGCAAGTATATTCTATCAAGAGTCAAAACTGTCAGGACAGGAAAACAAAGGTAAAAAAATTGAAATGTCCACATTTTATCAGAGCCTGGTTACTGAGGTTGCCTGTAAAAGTAATTTTAATTCAATTGTATTTTGTTGCAATTGAGTCACTTGTGAACACGCCAAAGTAACAAATTTACATTATGCGCAGCAAAAGCTGTACAAAGCTTTTTTTGGAAAGAAATTCCACTGAAAGTGTCTCTATTCTATGACATGTTAAGAAATAATGCAGATTTTAGAGCGAGCAAAAACGTAAGCTTCAGTAATTTGCACCAGAAACAATGACAAAATAACAATCAGATTAACAATCCTGATCATGTTAGAAAGGTGAAAAACATTTAAATAAAGCACAGTTGAACGTTCTGTTAAAAAAAATTAAACCCAGATTAGATTAGATTCTGAACCTGAAGCTTCTTGGTTATTCCAAACAAGCTGATCTTCATCAAAGAAATTGGGGAACACATTTCAGTTCTCCAAATGGTCGCAGTCCTATCATCTCGGGTTAGATTGAAGATGGCCAGCCCTGCTGATGGCTTGGCCTTATATTTTCTGTAATGTAAGCCTTTCTCTGAAGGCAATGGTTGTCGCACAGTACCAGTGTTGTCTCGATGTATTTGAGGATTTTGCTCAGGGGCTGATTGACTGCGTCCAGCTCATCAGAAGCTGCGAGCACAGTGACAGCAGTAATGCTCACACCACACCTTTCAGTCAGGACGCTTGATGGCCGGAAAGCAGGAGTTTTAAGGTCACCAATATGGAGGGATCACTGTCATGTTTGATATTGATGTGACACAGTTTCTCTTCTGGGAGCAGATCCTCCAAATGACAGCACCCCAATATTTAGGCCAGCCCAGTACATCACTATCTTTTCAGATATTCATCCAAAAAATTTATTGCCCTGTTCACAAATACCCAGAGAGTTAAACTTCATAGTGTCACATTCTCCTATACCATGTCATGTAAATTAATCAATTGTGCTCCTTCTTTATTACTCTTATGTTGACACTGGTACTAAACAGATTGTATTTACAGTGTAAGTAAATGTTATTCAGTGACTAAACTTGACCACCTTTGCTGGCCTTATGCCAGTGTATAAAATTTATCTTTTTAAAATGTGTGTCCTTGGATTTGGGCCTATAAAATTGTACAAATCTCAGAGTAAAATATTTCTGGAAATATGGTAAATCAAATAGAATAGCTCAGTGAAATATTAATTAAGAAGGAAAAGAATTTGCACAGTCCAATGCAACGTTGTTAAATAAGCCTAGCAGATCAGTCGCCTTCCTACACAGTGTGTTTGACAGCAACACGCTGAATCACTGGCTGGAAACCACAAGCAATGGCTATGCTCTGGGTTCTGCTGACAGACCTTGTCAAGTTGATGGAAAATCCAGTGTCTGGAGCCCAACACCGCTGAACAACATCAGTACATCTCTGCCACAATTCCCTGCACACCCACCCCGACTCTGGAACCATTTTGCTGAGTTCTGCCTTTAAAAAAAATGAGAGAAAAATTAATTGCGGCAAAGAAAGCGGAGGCCGTTAACCCCAAAACTATTTGGGTGTTCTGTTAATCGGAAGTGTGTAACAGTTGCTGTCACACTCGATGTGTTCCTTCAGGGTTTAGGCTGTGAATACATTACAGCACAGGCTCCAGGTTCAGCAACCTTGGAACACGGTTGATCAGAAATATAGTTTGTCATTGGTTAAGGAGTGTTCCAGTTGCCAGGGGGATCTACAGGTTTTCCCCAGGCTGGTACTGGGGTTCTGTTGCTGTGAAGTAGTCCTCGAGGAAGGACTGTAAATATTCAAACGTTGGCCTTTCTTCTGGGTCTTTCTTCCAGCACTGGATCATCAGGTCATGAAGAGAACCTGGACAGGCATTCGGACACGGCATTCGATATCCTCGCTCCACCTGCTCCAAAACTTCACGATTGTTCATTCCTAACAGACACAATGAGACATTCAGGTTAAAATCTGCTCCCTTATAGCTCATTCTCAAAGAAAGCTAATGGATGCTGGCCTTTATAACCAGAGCACTGGAGTGTAAGGATACAGAAGTTATGCTGCAGTTATACAATATCCTGAACTGTCAGCAAATGTGGGCACCGCACCTTAGGAAGGATATATTGGCCTTGGAGGGAGTACAATGTAGGTTTACAAGAGTGATACCTAGTCTTTAGGGATTAGGTTATGGGACAGATTATATAATAGACCTGTTTTCTCTAGAATTTAGGCATGATCTGATTGAAATCTTCAAAATATTAACAGGAAAAGACAGGGTAGATAAAGATAGACTATTTCCACTGGTTGGGGATTCTAGATGTAGAGGGCATAGTCTGAGAATTAGGGCCAGACCGTTCAGGAGAGATGTTAGGGAATACTTCTACACAGAAAGGGTGGTAGAAGTTTGGAACCCTCTTCCACAAATGGCAAATTTTAAATCTGAGTTAGATAAATTTTTGTTAAGCAAAGGTTTTAAGGGATATGGGCCAAAGGCAGGTATATGGAGTTAGGCCACAGGTCATGATGAATAGTGGAACAGGTTCGAGGGACTGAATGGGCTTTTCCTGTTCCTATGTTCTTATGTTCCTCTCTATCATGTGGACCGTGGCTCAGTTGGTAGCATTTTTGCGTCACTCAGAAGGTTTGGGTTCAAGCCCCACTCCCAGGACTTGAGCACAAAAATCCAGCTGGTATTCAGATTAATAGTCTGGGAGATCTGTAATGCTGTAAGTGCTGAGTTTTTGCTTGAGACATTAACCAAGGCCCTGTTTATCCTCTCAGGTTGATTCAAAAGATCCCAAGACACTATTTCAAACAAGATGCGGGGCCATTCCGAAGTGCCAAGGGCAATATTGATCCCTCAACCAACTTCACAAAAACAGATCACTGATCACTATCACTATCACATTGCAGGGGCGGGGCTTGCTGCATTTTCTACGGGTGGCACAGTGGCTCAGTGGTTAGCACTGCTGCCTCACAGCGCCAGGGACCCAGGTTTGAATCCACCCTTGGGTGACTGTGTGGAGTTTGCTCATTCTCCCCGTGTCTGTTTGGGCTCCCTCTGGGTGCTCCGGTTTCCTCCCAGAGTCCAAAGATGTGCAGGCTAGGTGGATTGGCCATGCTAAATTGCCCATAGTGTCTCGGGATGTGTAGATTAGGTGGGTTATAGGGGGATGGGCCTGGGTAGGATGCTATTTGGAGAGGCGGTGTGGACTTGTTGGGTGGAATGGCCTATTTCCACACTGTAGGGATTCTGTGATATCCATTACAACAATTACAGTACTTCAAAAGTACTTCATTGGTTGTGAAGTGCTTTAGGCCATTCTGTGAAAAGCACTACATAAGTGCCTGTTTTTCTTTCAACATACATTACTTCTACCTCCCTGTTCAATAGAGAAACCAACAGATAAAGGTATCTCTTAACACAGTGCGCATTCCCAAAGAAAAGATTAGAAATAGGGTCAGGTATCTCTTTGTAAATAATGACCTGAATGGTTTATTTCATTTTTTAATTCTTAGCTCAATATTTCGGCCTCAGTCTGAACAATGGATTTATAAAAATGCAATAAACACCATGGGAATAAAGGGAAACATGGGATTGCTTTACCTATTCGTAAATATCGAGTTCCTGATCTCAACTGTGTCATTTTGACATTGTGAGAGAAAGACTGGATAATTCAAAGCTTCTAAGTTGTGCATCTTCTAACTTTGGCAGAGCTTAGTATGAAAGCTCTTCCTTACAAACACCAGCTTCTCCAATCAATCCACATAACCACGATCCCTAAATTCTGGATCCATTCTGAGGAATCTTTCCTGTAATCTCTTGAAATTCTTCACATCTTGCTGGAAGTCCGATGCCAAGAACTAGACAAATGTCTCCAGTTGAAGGATGAAACAGTGTTTTACAAAGTTTGATCAGAACCTTTTTGCTTTTGTGCTCTTTAAAGAATCAAGGATCATGATGAACACCTTTTTAATCACTTTCTCAATGTGCATTGTGGCCCATCAATAATTTGTATACACATATATATATCTAATGTGTCACATTCCTGATGAAGAGGCATCACCACAGGAAACATTAACACTGTTTCTTTCTACAAATGCCGCCTGACCTGCTGAGTGCTTTCTGGTTTTAGTTTAGTTATTTAACCTGTCTCTATAGGTCCTCAGAAGGCAGAAGAGGCTGCACTCCAGTCATTAGGCTGGCTGTCCCATTCTTCCTTCAAGGAGTTTGAACACTATAGTTTGGAAAAAAAGCTTGCAAGATGTCACTGTACAAAGACTATTACTTCACTTAAGAAAAGAAGGCAGAGGAATTTGCTGCAAAATACATTTGAATGTAACATCGTAGAGTGCAATTTTTAGACCCAGCCAGCTCCAGATGGTTATAGTTCTATACCTGCGTTCTTACCTGGATATGGAACTCTTCCTTTGGTAACCAGCTCTATCAACAGAATCCCAAATGACCACACATCCGACTTGATTGTAAACTTTCCATAAAGAGCAGCTTCAGGCGCTGTCCATTTTATTGGGAACTTGGCCCCTGTATTGAACAGAAAGATTGTATTCTTGCTTCTTGCTTTGCTTTTGAATTATTTCTGAACCAAAAATGACTACTACTGCCTGAGAAAGAAGGGGAGGAACAAAAACAGAAGGGGCTGGAAGCTCATCAGGTCTGGCGGCATCTGTGAAGAAAAGATCAGAGTTAACTTTTTGGGTCTGGTGACCCTTCCTCAGAACTGATGTAGCTGGGAAAACATCGGTTTATGTGCAGAAAATAGGGAGGGGGATGGGGTAGGGAGTAAACGATAGGATAAAGCCTGAAAAGAGAGAAGAGTAGTTGGAAAGACAAAGGAGTTGATAATGTCTATCCAACACAGATCATTATCAATTCCTTTGTCTATCCAACTGCTCTTCTCTCTCTTTGGGCTCTATCCTATTGTTTACTCCCTACTCCATCCCCCTCCCTATCTTCCACAAATAAACCAACGTTTTCCCAGCTACCAGCAGTTCTGAGGAAGGGTCACCTGACCCAAAATGTTTACACTGATTTTTTTCTTCACAGATGCTACCAGACCTGTTGAGTTTTTCCGGCAACTTCTGTTTTTGTTCCTGATTTATAGCATCCGTGATTCTTTTGGTTTTTAAAGAAGGGAAGGACTTTGGTCCACGATAGAGAGATCACGCAGAGGAAAACCAAAGGAAATCATGGGATTGGGTTCTTTAATTCTTCTGGGGACACACAGGGGTTTAAAAATCAGTTTCTTTTGTAGGAACAGGAACCATTTCAATTCTCACTCGAGATAATCCCATATCACTCGGTTGCATGCAATCAGTTTGTCCACAAAATATGTCTAAGGAAAAGAATCAAATCATTCAATTCAGTTCAAATTTTGTCACATTTCTGCAGCCAAACTTCATATTTTTTTTTTGACATGTCAAATGCATGAAGTTTTTTGTAACTGTCTCAGAAGTATACAGAATGGTGGCTCAGTGGTTAGCACTGCTGCCTCACAGCACCAGGGACCTGGGTTCAATTCCATCCTCGGGTGACTGTGTGTGGAGTTTGCGTGTTCTCCCCGTGTCTGCAGGGTTTTCTACCGGGGGCTCCTGTTTCCTCCCACAGTCCAAAGATGTGCAAATTAGGTGGATTGGCCATGCTAAATTGCCCATAGCGTGAAGGTTAGGTGCATTAGCTATGGGAAATGCAAGGTTACAGGGAAAGGGTAGGGGGATGGTTGGGATGTTCTTTGGAGGATTGTGAGGACTTGTTGGGCCAAATGGCCTGATTCCATGCTGTATGGATTCTATGAACTGTCTACCTTTGTCAAATCTGAGAGTATACCCTGAATTGTGAAAGATGGTGCCTCAAACAGTCTATACTGAGGGGATAATATCAGTGGTTGTTGAGGAAATGTGAAATCCAGCATACAAAGACTAATCATGGTGAAGTTTAGTGTAAAGGTTTACCAGCTACTGTAAAAATGCATTAATCTCACATGGAAAGGGGAACTTTAATCTTCTGGCCTCAATATGTTCCATCCAGTGAATATCAGGTGCTCTGGAGGCTAATCTGATTGATACTCCAGCATATTATGGACAAGGGCAAGGTTCATGACACAGAGGGAGGGGATGGTTTGGGAGATGTACAGACCACTTCTTTTTATTATTCTGCATCTTTGATTGTGGATTGGATTGGGAAGAGGACTTTTTTTTGAAACTACAGGGATTGTTTGAAGGATTACAGCACTTCTTAAAAGGCATCTGGATGGGTATATGAAGAGGAAGCATTTAGAGGGATATGGGCCAAATTCTGGCAAATGGATTTATTTAGGATACCTGGTCGTCATGGATGAGTTGGAGTGAAAGGTCTGTTTCGGTGGGGCATGTCTGGTTATAGATGAGCTGCAGATGGGGCTTTGGGTAAGAATGGAGCTTCGGCCTGCAACAAGTAGCTTGTTGATAACTGGTCACTAGTGCACAAACCAATAAGAACGGCCTACTACCTACCAACAACTATGTTGATTGGTTCCTAAAATACCTACTGCCTGCTTGAACCATGCTCCTTCTAGACTTTGGGAAGTATTTAATGGGGGCAATTCTAAGGGCTCTCACCTCTGGCTGGACAGCCAATGGAAATCCCTCACATTGCCCCTTTTTGGATAAACTTGCTGCCGAACTGGGCAGCAATAGATATTCCCCAGGAGCAAGAACCCATGGTAGGAATCCTGCCAACCAGGAGTTGGTGGCCAATTGGAAGCAATAGGCCATTCATGGACCTTCTCACCACTGACCTCAACGGGGCAGAGGAGCAGAGGACGCAAGGGCTCCTCCCCACCCACCACTCTCACACCTGATTGGCTGCCTCACCGTCTCCATGGGGGAAGGTCATTAAATCGTGTCCATTGTTCTTGTTAAATGCTTAAATCATGGGAGTTAATCCGTACAGAGGTGGAGCACTGCAAAACAGGATATGACCTGTTTATAGCTACTGCAACAACATTTGACTGAGTGGATGTCGAAATTATGTTTCCCCAGGGCTGTTGACTCTAGAACCAGGGCACACCAGCCTTAGAACAAGCCATTTATGGCTGAATGAGGAGGAATTTCTTCACTCAGAGGGTGGTGAACCTTTGGAATCTTTCCAACAGAAGAATATAGAAGGTCAATTGTTGAGCAGGTTCAAGACAGAGCTGATAGATTTCTAGAGACTAATGAAAACAGGGATTTGGAGGAAGTGCAGGAAAATGGTGTTGACAAGATGATCAGCCACCATCTAAAAATGGCACTGCAGGACTGAATGAGCCCAGTGGCCCTGATCCTATTTTATTATTTCCCTGTTAACTTCCATTAAACAGTGCAGATGCTGTGTGCCAAATAAATGAATTGCTAAAGGTAATCATCTTTGCTGAACGGACATTAAAGATGTAATTAAGTTAATAATTCACTAGTGAGCTCCACAATGGGGTAGGAAGAGAGATTCAAAACAAACTGTTGAAAACTGAAGCTGTGTTTCTGCATTAAGAAATAAACAAAGCCATATTAACTTTGGTAGTTATTTCAGCACATTTTGTGAGTTCAAATGTATTCTTTGTCTACATTCAAATGAATCTAACCCATTTAATAGGGATCCTCGGCTCATACATGTAGCTAATGATAGGAGACAGTTGGAGCTATGGAGCTGCAGTATGTTTTGATGGCTTTGAGGTACAATTTCTCTATTAATTACATTGCATGGTTTATTTCACATGTCCTAACCATTTCTTTTGCTTGATATGAATTTCTGGGCAGAAATGAGGATCAGAAAAGATTGATTCTTGGGCACATTGCATTGTACCAAATTTCCCTGCATTATTTTCCTATCCAGTGTTGTGCAGGCATTGCCACAGTGCTGTCTAAACCAGGCATAGGCCCCTTTGTAGTGGCTGGTCCCAATTGAGAAGGAGCTGGTTTTCCAGGATAGTGTGTATCGTGAGGACTTATCAGGATATAGAGCTGGAAACCGGGATTAATTGCTACATGTATATTTGGAGAACATTCCGTACACTCCTGGAAATGCACAGGTCCTGACACCTTGAGTAGTGGAACCGGAGATGTTACATTCGCAGGAACAAAAGTAGATACTCAACTTAATGCTCAAAGCAGTTAGGTATGAGTCACTATAGGCAAATGGTCAGTTTAAAATTTTGATACATATTTAAAATAAATTTATTTGCAATTAATGTAAATATAAATTAAATATTATAACATTCCAACCAATCTATATTTGGGGAAGCCGTAGAACGTTGTACCTTGTCGGGCTGTGTATTCATTGTCTTCAATAAGTCTTGCCAGCCCGAAATCTGCAATCTTACACACAAGATTTTCTCCTACAAGAATATTAGCAGCCCTTAAATCTCTGTGAATGTAATTCATTCTCTCGATATAGGCCATTCCTGCTGCAATCTGTATGAAATGAAAGAAGAACCACAGCAATTCATTAAAGAGATAGCATTTAGTGCAGCACCATTGATGCCTTAAGGGAATGAATAAATCAAAGTGATCACTGGAGGTAGTTTGGAAGGTCAGTTACTATTGTAATAATTTTGTAACCAAATGAACGGTGCTGCTGGAACTGAAATGCCATTGTTTCCACATGGTTGTTAAAGTGAAACGTGATCAAGATACTGGTTCACAGGAAGTATGAGCAGTATCCTTCACCCTAGTAGGGTTGGGGGTGGGAGATAGGGTTAGAATTTAGTCTAGCCCAACATAAATGCTCTGCTTTAGTCTTACTCAAGTTAATTTTACGCAAGAACCTCAACACCAAATGACTTCGATTGCACTTTTTGTTTAAAACTCAGCTACGGCTTGGTGGGAATAGCTTTCACCCCAGGGTCAGAAGTTTGTGTGTTCACAGTTCCACTCAATGGCCCAAGCACAAACATCAAGACTGACTCTTTGGTGCTATGACCTAAGTCAGAAGTGGGGATGGTCACCAATTATGTACAATGTGTAGCATCATTCGTGACTCCTCACATACTGAAACTGTTCATGTCCAATTGCAGAAAGGCCTGGACAATATCCGGGTTTAGACTGACAAGTGGTAAGTAACATTTACATTACACAGACGCCAGACAATGACCATCTCCATGAGAGAAAAATCTAACCACTGTCATTTAATAGCTTGACCATCACTGAATCCTCCACTATCAAGTTATCATTGGCCAGAAATGGAACTAGACTAGCCACATAAATACTGTGACTACAAGAACAGGTCAGAGATTAAGAATTCTGCAGCAAATAATTCACCTGACGCCCCAAATCCTGTCCACCATCTACAAAGCACAAGCCAGGAGTGTGATGGAATATTTCCCACTTGTCTGGATGGGTGCAGCTCCAACAACACTCAAGAAGCTCGACACCATCCAGGACAAAGCAGCCTACCTGACTGTCACCACATCCACAAATATTCACTCTCTCTACCACCAATAGTCAGTAGCAGCGGTGTGTACCATCTACAAGATGCAATGCAGGAATTTGCCAAGGCTCCTTAGAAAGCACTTTCCAAACCTACGACCACTACTATCTTGAAGGACAAGGGCAGCAGATACATGGGAACACGACCACCTGCAAGTTCCCCTCCAAGCCAGTCACCATCCTGACTTGCAGGTACACCATTTCTTTGCAGTCATTAGGTCAAAATTCTGGAACTTCCTTTCTAACAGCCCCGGGTCTACTTACACCCCAAGGATTACAGTGGTTCAAAAACATAGCTCACTACCACCTTCTGCAGGGCAATTAGGAATGGGCAGTAAATGCTGGCCCAGCCAGCAACGTCCACATCCCCTGAATAAATATTAAAAAGCTCCCAATCTATCCTGTTCTTTCAGTGGTACTATCAGAAAATCAAAAATAATTACAAGATGAGCATCCAGGTCATTCAAAAAATCCAGGTAGACAATATCCAGCAATGTTTTTTTTTCCAACCAGTGTTCCAATCACTTGTCCTCAAGTTAACAGTATAGGACCTAAGCAGAACATCCCACTGATGCAATTATCTGTAAACCTTATGACATCTGGTCATCTTGTATAATATCTCCAATACATCTGCCATTGGGTTTATTCGTTTATGGATTCCAGGATCCAAATTCATCGACAAGAAGGGAACAATTGGTCCTCATTCCACTCCATTTAGAAATATTAATTGAAAGACCTCACTGATAAGTTTAGTTCCCAGTAAGGGGTTTTATGACACAGCAATAAAGCAATTAACGGTACTTAGAAAAATAAGCCACCTCAAAAGGACTGTACTAATTCTTTCTGCAATATGTTCCGGATGTAGTGATGTTCATGTGACTCGGTTTACTTTGCGATATAAACTATCCAATGGCCTTTTATCATTATATGTGATGTTGTGGAAGGCTACACAGTGTAGACAGCAAACACAAACCAGTTCTGATTGCACTATATTCAGGGTAGGATGATGCTATCATTTCATAGCAGGGAGTGAGTGTGACCTCCTTCAAGTTAAAACTGGGCAAGAACTGAATCAAGAGACAGCAAGGTGCAGAGTGGATGAACACAGCAGGCCAAGCAGCATCATAGGAGCAGAAAGGCTGACGTTTCTGATGAAGGGTCTAGGCCCGA